ATTCTTAGATCTGATGAGGTTGGTTAAAGTGAAAGCTATCGCAAACAATTCTGTCCCATTGCCTTCTGCCTCTTATAGGGTAGGTCTGGCCCTCAGCACAGCAACTTTTGCTGGCCTCCTGGCTCGCAGGAAATTCATACCGTCATTAGTGAATACCTAAGAAAGCCTTGCTGTTTCCAGCACCTCTGAGGCTTCATTGTGTGTCTGCTCCCTCTTCCTGCCAGGACTCTCTTTTTCCTGAGTATTGTGGGTTTCATCTCCTAATAAGAATTTATAAGAAATTACAGTGTAAAATATCTACTACAGCAAGGAGAATTTAAGAGCTGGGTGAAGCAACATAGTTTTACATTGCTTCAGTGCTTCATAGCGTACTAATGATACAATTTTTCCCTATTTAATTTTTAAACGTTAAAGTTCTTAACAGAATCTTGGGTATCAGTTATATATCAAAATTAAGACAAGATTCTGTTCTGATGTAGCAGATGCTATGCTGTTGACTTCAGAAGCATTTTGCCCCTTTATATGAGCAGACTGTATAATCTAACACTCATTAATAGCCACTGCATGGATCAATACCTTCAACAGTCAGATTTGATCCCCCTGGATTAATTGTAGAGGAATTTGAGAATATTTGCTACTGTAGTTTTCTTTGAGGCATAACTCTACCAGCTGTTATCTTTCTGTGTTCCCCATTATGTAGTAAGCTCTCGTACTTTTTTGGTATTCATTAATCCAGTCCTTCCTCCACATCCATATTAAGAAAAACATCTGTTTCTTCTTGTTCAATCAAAGTGCCTACCTCAAGAGTTCTACTTTTAAAATAATGCAATTTAAAAAGAAATCCTAGATAGGGAAAATGCATTTCATTAACATATTTAATTTGCATATGAAACCAGCTTTTCTGAAAGTCAGCAAGGAATTTGTGGTGGTAGCAATATACTCTTTTTTTTTTTTTTTCCTCAAGTTGGTTACCTGAAAGTTACAGTAAGTAAAAAAAGAAGGTAAATAAATGTACATATAGTCTCAGATGAAAGAGATTAAACTGTAAAGAGAAAGCATCTTTGTGAACTTGGGAGGTTCTACACTCTATACTTTCCAACTGAATACTCTTCTGGTGGAAAGGACTATATTCTATACTTACTATTCAGCTTGGATTTAGGGAAGGATCTTGGTTAAACTTGATTTTTGTAAAGTGTAAGCAGAAGTCATTTCTCAATATTCATGAGGCAGGTAATAAAATATTACACTAAAATAGGTCACGCAACTCTATAAACTTATCCCCTATGGAAGAATATACTGTGTATTACAGTGTCAGTGTAAGTTGCTGGAAATGGAGCATTTTCACGTGAAAAAAGGAGTGTTGACCCTACTGCCCCTGGAACTCATGCAAATAAAAAGCAGACAGAGACTGTGGCAGAGAAAAAGATGCTCTCAGTCACACAGCTGGGGAGCACAAGTCCATAAATGCAACAGTGAGGGCTTGCTGAGTGCAAATGAACTGTCCTCATTAGCCTCCATAGCGAAAGAGTTACAGAACCCCATGGAAAAAATGTATCAGCAAGAAATATTGTAAATGTAAAATTACAACTGAGTATTTGTGGCAACTGGAGTCATAGCAGTTCAGAATGGCCCTGTCATCCTGTAAAGATCCATCTGGGTGCTTAATGCAGGTAGCCTTAACTGGTGATCATTTTGTAACCAGTACAGTGAAGATTTCATAAAACAGAAACTGTGGTTGTTCAGGAAGTGTCAGGAACAGTGCAGATTTGTAGCATCAAATATTTTTAGTACTGGCAAAATACTAGTGCTTCTCCAATTATACCCCTTGCAAGCAGCTTGTAGACAGCTGTGTGTCCCCTTAGTATATTTTGCTAGAGGCTGTGTACAGGGAGAGAATGCATTAAATTAAGCTTTGATGGTAACCTGTAGCCCTCCTCATGCGCTGATTTCTGTTCAATCTGGTCAGCATCACTGACCGCCCTTCCCCGTTTGGTTCTTTCCTTTAGTCATTGCGCTGCGCACTTTTTCAGTGTGGTGCTAGTGAGCTGTGCTGTCTTCCCTTGACTGCATGCTGGGAGAGCACGCTAAAGATATTAGCTAGAAATAACTTTAGTTTCCTTAGAGTGGTACATTGCACACCTTTTTTCACTTCTTAATGCAGCAGTTAGCATCATTAGTTTTTGTGCTTTAATGAAATGTTTTGAGACTCCCCAAGTCGTGCACAAATCCGTGTTGAGTTGGACAGATAGTTTCCAATGGAAAAAAAGTGTGGAAGGGCTCCAATTCACAAATTGGTTGTGATGGAAGTGATGTCTCTCTTTTCACAATAGTTACGTTATTCACTCAGTGAAAAAGTGAGCTGAATTAATTTCTCTCCTTTTTTTATATCTCACTCCTCCTAAGAGAGGAAAATGATCTCTCTGGTAAAGATTAGTCAGGGAGTGAAGCACACAGCAGTAAATAGTGACATAATATGAGAAAGAGAAAGAGCCAAGGAGCAATTCTATGGTTCTTTAATCTGGATGCATGCTTCCTGTCCCTGTTTTAATTTTGTTTAAAATATGTTCATATAAGAAGAAAATGAGTCCTATGAGACTAGCTTATATAGTGTTTACAAAGCAGGCCAAAGTATGCAGTCACAAAATGCAAATTAAAGTAACCAGGAGTATTTTGCATCCTCTGAGATTTTCCACTTAAAACACTTCACTTACTCTTAACATCAATTCTTTGTTTTATGAAGGAATTTCTTCAAGAGATGATGATGGCAAACTAGGACTTATTACAAGAAATACAGTGTACTCCCAATTTAATAGCATATTCATCTGTCTTTACCTTCATTAGTTATCTGTGTATGTTTATGTCTAAATGTGTTTAAAAGACAACGAATTGAACGTAGGGAAGATTTTAGCTAGAAGGTTTTGTCTGTTAGGTAATGATTTCAATTAAAAAACGTATCAGAGCCCAAAAAGTAGTGACCTTAAAAGTTCCTGCCGGGAAAGTTGTAAAGGAGAGAAATTTGCAATGGCAATGCATCAGATAGTACTGCCTATTTAATCCAAAATCAGGAGGAAACTAGTGAAATTTCACATGCTTGTGGGAGCCAGGCATAAATAGAAGAAGCCACTAAAGGCATGACATACTTTTTCTAGTTGCAGTTTGTCAGGGTACAAAGGCTTATGTTCTGATATAATAAGAGATGGTGGTACAAGATATGCTAACACTTTTCTTGTTCAATATTCTGTTGTTTCTTTACTGAATATTCCCCCTTTGCAGAAAATGATATAGACATATGGACTCACATGTGAACAGCCTGTGCTGCCATTTTCATGCCTTTTGATAGTGGAGTTTTAGTTTTATCCAGAAGTCTCTAAATATTGCTATTCAGTTCATGGCAGTAATGAATGCCATGATACAAACTGTCTTGATGCAAATTTTTTAATGATAGGTCATCTCAAGCTTGAAAATTGGGTTTTTGACTATGTTCTGATGAACTTCAGTTGTAGTAACACTTACTACAAAAATTTGGATTTGGAACACTACTAAAAAAGGTTCATCTTCCTCCTTTTCCTTCATGAGTTATTTTTAGCTATAGAAATTAATCTTACCTGGATTGAAATGATGTGCATTTTCTGTTTGTTGTTTGTCTATTAAGCTTAGTGAAAGTGGAAAATGAGCTCACAAGCAGAGAGAAAGCCTTCCTGATTTTTAGTGTGTTAGGTCTTTCTTTTATTACATTGAGCATGTTTTCGGAGCAGCATTTCTTACCGACACACCTTTATTCACAAAAAAAGAATATCCCAAGATATAACACTATCGGTGTTTTATCAGGACTTGATCTGATTTCCTAGCCAAACACATGGGGAAGCAGTGGGAAAATAATATTCATTGTATGTCTAGGTATATCTGGTATTAATGATTGCCATGAATATTATTCATTGTTCATAGAAGATAGATAACATTCCTTTGAATGCTTTGAGATGTCATCTTCCGTTATACTTCTGATACTGTTATGCATCCCATTTAATTTTAGAAACCGCTTATTGCACTATATTGTACTTTATTGTGGCAAATCGTATTTTGCTAATGTGACTTAGCACCTGAAAGTAGATGGAGAAAAATGTTACTTGTGAGAGGTGCTATAAGGTGGAATTAGGTTTTACTAGAGAGTTTGCTACTTATTTGCTTATCCAAAGTAACCCACCTGCACAGTAATGATAATAACTTAAGAACAAGTCAGTACTCTTTTGCTGTTCTTAAATGCCAGCCTGACATGCTCAGCCACCTGGCTTTCTGCCAGCTGCTGCAGACAAGAAGTATGTAAGTTCTTTCTTTTAAGAAGACCTGAATGAATGAACGGATCCAGATACTTCATTGCTGCCAGTATAGGGAGGATGGTGCTCCCCTAAGCTTAAGGTTTTTGGCAGACATTCGCAGTGGCTCTGTGATGAAGTCTTCATTTGCCATGACTAGCCACATATCCCAATGGCAGGATTAGCCGTGAATTAGGCTTCCATGTAAGCTTTTCCCCCTTCTCTTTTTCCTTTCCTTTGTCTTGGAAGCATCACCTTTTGATAGAAGCAGCAATCAGAAGCACAATATGCCCTGTCGGCTTGTTACTCATCATAATTAAATAGATGAATCAATATATTTTCCTTTTGAACTTGGTTGTAGAAACAATTAAGGGATATTCCTCATTAGTGAAACGTAGACTATGGCCTTTTGATGAGTAAGGTGAGTGATAACATTTGTATTCAGAAATAATACCTGACCACATGGACAGTTTGGTAGTTTCCAGGCTTGTATTTATGATGATAACATTAACTTTTATGTAAAATTACTTTAATAATAATATCTTATTATCACAGTGAAATTCTGCATTTCTACATGTTCATTAGGCTTCATTAGACCTTACCTAATGAGCTTGGGAGAGATGCAATAAATGCTTAAAGATAATAAATATTGGACTAAATAAAATGTTCCAATGTTTTCTTTCTTCATAGGCTCTGGTCTCAATGATGGGCAGTGGCATGAAGTTCGATTCCTAGCTAAGGAAAATTTTGCTGTCCTCACCATTGATGGAGATGAAGCTTCAGCCGTTCGAACAAACAGCCCTCTGCAAGTTAAGACAGGAGAGAAATATTTCTTTGGAGGTAAAAATATCAGAACAAATATCCATTCACAGTGCTCTTCTCTTTTAATCTATGCAATAGGTGAAGTGCAGCTCAGGATGTAATTTATTTGGTGCACATAGATCTTAATACTTGGAGCTTCTAAAATGGCTGGGGTGCTGCTTGTCAAAAAAGTAAAATACTGAACTTAATTTTACTTTAAAAGTTTTTTTCCTACCTCCTCATCCTTGAAAAAAATCTCAGAACTATTGTACAAGAAGTAATCTAACTTGGAATGATTTCCCGAATCTTATTTGGACAATTCAGAGACCGTTTTCTAAAAAGGTACCCTTCTGATATGAGTAGTTTCATTAAATGGCACTAAGGAGAGAGACTTCAAGTTTGGAACCACAAAGACAGCAAATATTATTGTCCGGACAGCTCTTAAGCTTGTGCTGATTTTTTTAAGAGTTGTCATGACTGTGTGTTACTGAAAGCTTCCGGGAATTAAAGCCTTAGTTTGCTAAATACTGTAGTCCATTAGTAGTCCATATAGTAAAAGAGTTCTTGCCAATTATGGCTTGAATATTTATTGCTCTTGTTCTCCCATGTTAGCATTTATGAAAGTCAAAAGGCCAACAGAAATTAGGATTTTTTTTTAATTTTAAAAGCCTGTTTAGCATACCAGAAGATATTTTTGATACACTACTGTGTTATCTTATAGGGCAAGGCCGTTAAGGGTTTTCAAAACGAGGTGTAGATATGTTTTTTTTGTACTGCTAGCCATGTTTTTTAAAACATCTGATTCAGCAATGATCTGCAATCTTTGTTCAAGCAGGATTCTCAGTGAGGTCAAATGGTAAGAGCAGAAAGAGTTGCAAGCTATACCTTTGAATTGTCCCTCATATGCGAGGTTGCCCATGAAAGCTTCAGACAGAGAATGCAAATTTTGAGATGATTTTTGAGTAGAATTCATCAGTATTGAAAACTGATTATTTCAAATTTACAAGCTGCATAACTAATCAAAATATAAGTGCAGAACTATAAATAGTCATAATATTACTGACGTGACGGAAATGTTAGTGAGTTATGATTTGAAGTGCCCAAGTAGAAAGCATAAAAATCCTTTCAAGGTTATTCTCATTTCATTATCTCCTATCAGTGGAATCATTAAAAATACATATGGAAATTAGTGTTTAAATAGTGTTGCAAAACTAATATATAGTTAATTAAGAATAGATTCTAATCCTCCAGATAGTGATGCCACACACTTCTAGGAAACTTGTATCCTTGTGGCAGTGACGATAACGCAGTCTAATGCAAATATTACCAGATTAAAGTCAATCTGTCACCAAAGGTAAACTTCCCTATTGTTGCAATGTTCATCTTTTCTGGTATCCTTACTGAATTCAGCTATCCTAAATAGGATTTTTAGCATATGACCTTAAAGAAGAGTTCTAGCGTAGACCGTTGCCACATGCCAGAGACTGAAAATTTTCTCATCAAAACATACTGCTTTCACTTTGTCAGAACAAGCTGAGAATATTTATTAAATGAAGTTATTAAGCAGAAAAAATAAAAAGAAATGCCATACATTATAGATCTTATGTTAAACTCTGTTAATCTTGATTGGTGAAATCCAGACCGTTACTACATTTCTGGAGAGAGATTGATTTCTTCTGAAAGGTCTTTTACCTCTCACTCTTTGGCTTGTGGAAGATAGATTGTCAAGATTCTTCAGGTGATTTTTCTATACTTTCTCAATCAAAATACATGTTGATTCAGTGTCATTTTAGTTAGATGCTGAAATCTGTTTAAGTTGTTGACCTGCACCTTATAATTCCACCAACCTTCCATAAAAATGTGCATGTAGATACTGTTCTGGTGGGCTATGAAAGTCAGTCATGAATTCTCTGAGGTGTTACTTCCACGTCTGTTCACCAAAACATATGGACCCTTTGCATAAGCTATATGTGTTTTTGTTTTTCCTTATTCTTTGTTATACTTTGAAGCTCTTCTAAAGATGTATCAAAAGAATAGCCATGTTCTAACCTTCATGTCCCATTTTATTTATGAATAAGCAGTCTGTATTTGCAGCACTGTATTTTTGAATTTTAACTCTCCCAAGCTGTGAATCTGAGGAAGCTTTATTTCTGACTTGGATCTGAGGAACTCATTTGTTTTAGTATGCTTCTAATATGAATTTACACACACGCGTGTGCGCGCGCGCGCACACACACACACACACACACACACACACACACACATATATTTATGCATATAGGCTAGAAATTACTTGAAACTTAAAGCAGTTCTTTTGGATGCAAGTTAGAAACCTGATCTTTTGATTCACAAGCTGCGTTTTATGAGACAAAAGTATTTTTATTCTTTTCCCTGTATGTATATGTGTTCCTCTTTATTTTCCTATATAAACTTTCCAATTTGTGGCTATTTAATAAAGATTGTTTGCAGCTGGAGGATGTAGAATTGAGAAGAGTTGGGAACTTCAAACTTTTGCACCACTTCATAATTGTCCTCAAATGAAATATTTTCATTAGTTTCATTAGGAGCAAGTTCAGATAATAATGTCTCAAATGTATTTCTCTGCAAATATGCACAATTGGTTAGGAAAGGGACAATTGCTTCTTGAAATCAGGGGATGGAACATTTGTATTTTGCAAAATGATGGATGTCTAGCCAAAAGAATTACCAATCCTTGGTGATCATAAATTTCCACAGTCAAAAGAAATTCACTGGATTTCTTTGACTGAGATGAGAGTACATTAGTTAAAAGGTATTATGACTATTAGACACTTTTAAACTAAAATCCAAACGTATATATCACAAATGCAGAAGTTAAATGCTTAGCTTTAAAGATACTAATGTCATATTCTTCCCAGCCCACTGCTGAATTTATTGATCTTTCACTTGCAAAATCCTGAGAAAGCTCAGTCCATTGAATGTGTAATGGGAAGGCCTGTACAGCATTTCCAGAAGTCACTGAAAGTATATGCTCTTCTAATTTCACTTTGTCTACTTTATCCTGGAAAGAGATGCCACAGTATGCATAGTTTTGGTGCTCCAAGCTTTTCCTGGTGACATTTCAAAATAAGTATCTTTATGTTTTGGTCTCCTGGTGACAGTATAGCAAATATGTACTATAGGCAATGGTGTTTTCTTTCCTGAACAAAAGGTTTCAAGGTGGTATTTCAGCACTACAGTACAACATTTTTACAAATACATACTGTAGAATTTAAACAGAAAAGTAATTACAAAATGGGTACTGCTTCAAAGTAGGATAGACCTTTTTTTTCCTAGTAAGGCAAACACTAGATAGACCTTTTCTGTGAAAATTGCTATAGCTTTTACTGTAAAAGAAGTACCACATTTTAATGTGAATTTTGGAGACAATGTCTATTTTCCATTAAAAATGAGCATTTTCATATCTTGTTGTCATAACTTTGTGCTAGCAGTATCCCATGATATTAGTTTTATAGTAAAGTGGCCACTCTATCAAAATCAGGAGTGGATTAAGGGTTGAGTGGACAAGGATAACGTTACTATGCCAAATGTAATGATAGAATATTCCAAGCAAATCAGAAAGATTACACTGACTTTCACATGAATAGCTTCTCAATGATATCCAAAAAATCCTTAATTTTACTCCTGACATTTTGATTAGAACTTGATTATAACTCAATCTAATATAGCTACCTAAATAATATTGAGAACGTGGAGATGCAAGATGGTTGTACATGGCTTCTTGGAATTAGAAATTTTGGCAGGAACAAGCCCTGTAAGTCAAATACTTCCTCTGTGCGCACAAATGGGTGAAGTAATGGCAAGACAAACACTGCGCAGACGTTGAAGTGGTTAGGAAGTAGAATAGCTAGGTCAGGCGTGGAGTAGTATACTGAGCCTGGTTTTTCAACCTCCCTGTCTAGTAGCAGCCTTCAGGTACTATTTTGAGCAAAGTTAGCCTTTTGGAAAAATCTTACCTGAGTTGCATCTTTGAACTTGTTCCTAAATGTGTACTGGTTCATCCTCCTTTTGTCCTTTTATTTGGATACAAATGCTCTTCCTTGACCACCAAACCTGGATTTTTGCAGTGGATACAACAATTAATGTTTGAATAAAGGAGATTTGGAAATTAGAATCTCTTGTGAGTTGTGCCCGTAGAGCTAACTTTTCTAGTTTTGAAACACAGCAGTAAATCACAAGAGGATTCTTTATTTCTCCGCGAGAGAAGAAATAATTTTCATTGTACCCACAGACTTTCTGTTTTGCTTCCTTTGTGCCTCTCTTGTGTGCTGTCTCCCAGCACCGCTAAGATCCTCTTAAGGGATAGACAGCAATGATGTTTTATTCAAATCTATGAGTTAGGGAAAGCTATGTTAAAGATCAGGTATCTCTGTAGATTTTGTGAGTGTGCGCTGGTGTATTTGGGAGGGTAGGTGCTAATTGCCGACTGCCCTACTGTATAACTCTTCTATCCTCATTCTTTTTAATTCCATTCTCTTGCTTTTCTTGGATTTGGGTTTTTTTAAACAAGTGA